TTAGTATTACTGTGAAAATTTGGGGCAAGCCTTTATGATCTTCCCTCCATTTTAAACTGGGGTTCACAGACATCCTCATCTCATGAAGGATGTTGGTCTCCTAATGAGGTGTGTATGAGGAGCCCTTGTGTCACAGACATACAGTAAATATTTCCTATTATCAGCAATCCCCATGTGTTCCCACCAAGCAGTTGACAGAACACCCCTTCCCATTTCTCCTTGTGTAAACAGTATATTGCTTTTCTTCATGGCTATGTCCTTAGCTGGTGACATCCTCCTTGGACAATGACAGGACAGGAGGGCTCTGACTTGGCCAGGGTGAGGGGAGGGTAGACCAGATGACTGACATCTGGAAGGAGCAGTGCAGGGTCCACTGGGGGTGGAGCGCTCTGGATGTCACTCCTTTACCACCTGACTTCCCTCAGCTGTCACCATTGCATCCCAGTTTGTTATTCTCCCTCCAGCCTGAACACCTGAGGAGCTGTGAGGACAACCTGTGATTGGTCTGAAGACATGGCAGCAAGCAGGGAACCTGATGGTAGGCATTTCCTTTTTTCTGTCTTCATCCATCTCACAAAGCTTCCAGTAGGGAACGGTTCAAATGCTGGACCTGTTTCCTTGTCCAAGGCAGGTCCTTTTGGTCTCAGTGGCCCACCTATGTGTGGTCCCTGTGTCTATAAGTGCGCTGTCTTGACTGTGTGACATCCCCCAGAGGCTCCTGAGTTAAACACTTGGGCTCCAGTTGGTGTTGCCATTTGGGGAGGTTATGGAAGTCTCAGGACACATAGCCTTACTGGAGGGAAGACCAAAACTGTGGTGGGCTTTTAATGTTTATAGCCCTGCTGGGCGTGATGTGCATGTCTTAATCCCAGCACTTGGGAAGTTGAGGTAGGTAAATCTTTGAAGCCATCCTGGTCCACACAGTGAGTTCAAGTTCAGCCAGGGCTACACAGTGTGACTCTGTCTCAAAAATAAAATATAACAAAATAGGGCAAAAGTAAAATAGAGTACTTGCATTTCAGATGAAATATCTCAGTCTCCAGCACCTGCTTCTGTCCCTTAACCGACACTCTGGACATCTATTCCTGTGGAGCTGGAAGCCAAATGAATCTTCATAATGCATTTCTGTTGTGGTGTTTTATCTCAGCAGCAGAATACTAGACATCTGTGAAGAAACTGAGAACACTCTTCTTTCTCTTTCTCTCTGTCTCTGTCTGTCTGTCTCTCTCTGTCTGTCTCTCTGTCTGTCTCTGTCTCTGTCTCTGTCTCTGTCTCTCTCTCTCTCACACACACACACACACACACACACACACACACACGTACATATGCACACACACACACAGTCCCATGGGTCAGTGTCACAGGATCCTGGAAGGCAGTCCTGCTGAGCACAGTGCAGAAGGGGAGATTTGGTTCTTGCAGGTTCACAGGGAAGCAAGGTTTTCATTGGCAATTGGGGTAGAGTCATTCCTTTGATATTTTGACACAGAATGTGGCTTTTTTCTGTCCATATTCTGAGAATTTACACAGGGCTAAACTAAAAGGCAATGGAGTAATTTTTTTGTTGGGGAAAGAACAAGACAGCAGAACACTGAATCTGTGGATGGTTGTTAATGGCGGTGCTTATACTTGTCTACAATGAAGAAAAGGAAGCAGGACAGAAGGAAATGAAAATGTTTGTCATTTTGCATTTGGAGAGAATAAAAGCACTCGGGAGCTCAGTGTCACTTAATGGCTGGGACTGTCAAAGACCTAAGAGGATCTGAGGGGAGGCCCCTCTCTGCAGTGGGACAGTGGGAGGAACAAGGAGGGGCAAGGACCCAGCCAGCTAAGCTCCTGCTTGTGAAAGGAGAAAGCCCAGAGCTTTCTTGCTCCTGGAGAGCCATTGCTTCAATGTGCAAAGCTGCTGTCGGTGTGGCTGACAGTGACAAGGGTCCATCCCAAGTTGGCAGCCAAACCTGGCAGTCCTGTCTGTGGGCATTGGCTGCGGAGTCATGAAATATGCAAGAGTGGAGTGGTCACGGATGCTCTCTCCATGGTGTCAGAGAGCCTGAGTCCTTCCCGTGTTCAAGATATCAGAGTGTAAATAGATGCAGAGAGACATGTGTGTGCATATGATAGATAATGAAATGATGGATAGATAATACAGAGTGGACATCTGGTTATCTCATTGTCAGAAGGACTCCAGTCCCACTAAGTAGCACCCTATATTCATGGCATAATTTGGACTTTATTACATTATTTTTCTTAAAGTTTCTCTCTCCAAATATAGTTGCTGAGCCTCAGAGCTTTTACATATGAATTTGGGAATCATAACTGAACCTCCAACCTTGGTGTCCCCATTAGGAACCGTGGACAAATGCTCAGGAACAGGGCATCATGGCATCTCCTGCTACTTGCCATTTAATCTCTTCCACACTGGCTTCTAACCTCATTCTTCTTTCTCTTGGTAAATAATGGCAGGACACATCACTGGAGAATTCATTGACTTTCTCACAAAAATACTCAGCGGAGAGGATCTGATATTCCTGATAAATGAAGATGAAGCCTGGGAGGCATTTGTGGAGGAAGCAGGGTTGTCAAGGTAACCTGCATGGTGCCCCCAGCACTGCCTGCCACACCATGAAGATGAGGGTTTTCCTGGGCAGGCATACCCACTCTAGCCAGTACCAGGGGTTAGAGCTATGGACCTCTTCCTCAACCATCCAGGAGGAGAGTTTCTACCATGTTATTCCCTGTTGGAAATCAACTCAAGGTGACTGAAGATGTCACTCAAGGTGCCAGGACCATTTCTGCCATCTACTAGTTATGTGACCTTGGCAAATTAGTAAGCACTTCCTGAGTTTCAGAACCATGAAACTTCAGTGTGAGAAAATGAAATCATGTGTGTGGAGTTCTTAACATGTGGCCAATACACCATGAGTGTCCCTGAAAGTTATCACTGAGAGCTACCTTAAGAGACCAAAATCAAGGGTCTTCTATAGGACTGAGGACTCAAGAAATCATTTGAGTTAGGGTCATAAAAGTGTGGACATGGTTAACATGTCCCCAGGTTCTGTCTCAGTCACTTTCCTCCCATCTGAGGAGCTGGAACAACAGCAGGGTCCTTGTGTGAGATGAGGAGGCAGAGAGCCCATGGTGCAGCTGCAGAGCTGGGGTGACCCTGACTGTCCTTACTGAGATCTGGAGCCCCAGTGTGCTCAGGAGGAATGGGAATTCAGTCTGAAAGGACGTGGTGATGACAGCCTGGGGGAGGAACAGGTCAGGGATGGAAACCCAAGTGCCAGCACCCTTCCCAAAGCCCAGAGACCAGGGCCCGGGTCAGGGCCAGGGCTCTGGAGAGACTGTGAGTGACCTAGAGAGGAGGTGTGGGTAGAAGGCTGGTACAGCAGGACTGGAAGGAGAGGGAGGAACTGAAGGCACAAGAAGGGGATGGTCAGGGTTCTAGCAGAAAACATGTAAGAGGGGAAGGGACATTTATCCCACCTGCTTCAATGTCATGTTTCATGTGTGTGCAGGGCTGTGCTTGGGTGTGCCCTTCACACATGTGTGTGCTGCAGAGTTCTCCAGTGGCTTTTGGCTTCTCTTCTATTCTACACAGAACTCCCTGAATATTAGGAAGGATGTGTTGCTAGAGAGTGCTTCCCATGTCAGTGTGGCTGGAGGATGGTCCAAATAACTGGAGAGTCTGAGGTGACCCCATGTCCCAATCCCAGAGAAAAGTCCTTCCCCTATTGCCTTGTCCAAATTGAGGGGATTTCTGACCTTCTGATGACCGCAGGTAGTCTCCAGGCCCCTTGCATCTTCGAACATGGCCTTGCTATGTTCAAATGTGACACTGTCATCAGCTATGTTGTCTGTTAGCCTGGTGACCTATGTCTGCAGGTGTCTGAACTAGACATGCCAGGTGATGGGTCAGGAGTGAGGGAGTGGTGTGAGTCAGTGTGGAATCAGGACCAGTGGCAGCTGACCTGTCTTAGTCACCCGGGGCATGCACTGACCTTGTGAGGTCAAGTTAGGGAGGGAAAGGGCTTTGTGCATCTGCAGAGGACAGACATCAGGCACAATGATCTGGAGGGTCCCTTGTGGCTCTGAAGTGTTTCTTCTTTTTTTTGTTTTATTATTAAATTCTCAGAGATATCCTCATGGCAAAGTCTGAGGAAAGAGTCCCAGTGAGCCTCTCTCTGACACCAGCTGTTTATGAAGGACTACTCCAAACCAGTCACAGGATTGAGAATGTTCATGACAAATCATAGGGATCATGTATAAGATTGTTATCACGCCGGGCGTTGGTGGCGCATGCCTTTAATCCCAGCACTCGGGAGGCAGAGCCAGGCGGATCTCTGTGAGTTCGAGGCCAGCCTGGGCTACCAAGTGAGCTCCAGGAAAGGCGCAAAGCTACACAGAGAAACCCTGTCTCGAAAAAAACCAAAAAAAAAAAAAAAAAAAAAAAAAAAAAAGATTGTTATCACATCGTTACAGTTGATCATGGAGCAAAGAGGATTAAAATAAGCCAATGAAAACATCCACCACACAGATCTGAGACAGTTCAACAATAGATCAATTTCAGTGATATGGGCCTCATGGGAACCTTCCTAAAGTCAATGCCATTGGCTTTCAGCACCTCTGGAAGTCAGAAATTGCACCAAAGTTCCCACCACACCCCACATCTTTATGGTTGAGCATTTTTATAGGAAATTCTTGGGAACAGATGTTTCTCAGATCTTACATTTCCCTACAGGCCCTTGACCATCTACAGGGTTCCCTGGTGATGATGCTATTTCCTTGATTAAAGGCATTTTGATCAAGTGCCTCTCATTACAGTGACTCTACTGTACACACTGACCCTATGGACTAAGGTCCTTGAGTATCTATGATGTACCAAATGCTCATGGTAGAATGTGAAATTATGGATCTATACATATTTTTTCCCACTGGAACTGTAGTATGAAAGTGAAATTTGAATAAGATTTTAGCTTTAAGAAATAACTATTTTCCTCATGCACTTGACCTGTCACAGTGAGCAGGAAGATGCACTGTATGATGTGTTGATTGAGCATTTAGCACAGGAGTTCACAGATGAAGATGATGAAACTCAAAAGGAGCTTCAGGAAAAGAGGTTTTTGGAAGAATTTCCTGTGTTGAAAAGGAAACTTGAAGGACACATCAGGAAGCTCCGAGACCTTGCTGACCGTATTGACCAGGTGCACAGGGACTGCACCATCTCCAGTGTGGTTTCCAGCTCAACTGGCATTTTCTCTTTTTTTGGATTTGCTCTGGCCCCCTTCACAGGAGGGGCCAGTATGCTGCTCTCAGGAAGTGCAGCGGGGCTGGGGGTAGCAGCAGCTGTGACTACTGTCACCACCTCTGCTCTGGAACAGTCTAACATAGAGTCGTATGAGGATAAAGTCAACCAGGTGGCTAAAGCTAGCATGGACGTACTACATGATATTGCAATGATCACTCCTAAGAGCAAAGACAGCAAATTGAACAGGCATCAGTTAGCTGTCTCACAACCAGTTGCTGGCACTTGTAGTTTATACTGTGCTACCAGATTGGACAGAGTACTCAACGCTGCAAGACTACTCAATGCTGCAAGAGGACTCAGTGCTGCAGGAGGACTCAGGGCTGCAGGAGGACTCAGGGCTGCAAGAGGACTCAGGGCTGCAGAAGGACTCAGGGCTGCAGGAGGACTCAGTGCTGCAAGAGGACTCAGGGCTGCAAGAGGACTCAG